GAAGAAAAGCAGCCGCTTTTTTACAAGAGGGGCATTTATAGGCGCGTTGGCACGTATTAAAGTCACGCCGTAAAAACCTCCCCCGAGTCACCCTCTGGGAGGGCAGAAACGCAAAGTTAAACAGAAATCTTGCAAGGGTTGGAGCGCACAGACAGAGAGAGAGAGAGAAAAAAAATCCCACCCACCCACTAACCACCCAGGAGGACGCAGTCCCTGGTTGCGAGGGGGAGAGGCCGGAGAGGCCACGCGCTTGGCTGCGATGCGCACCGGGGTTCGGCTTGCGCTGGGAGCTGGTGAGCTGGGCACGCTGCCTTCCCCGCGGGGCCCACGCCCTGCGGTCAGCGCTCTGCTCGCGCACAGTGACCCGTGGTGACCTAAGGAAACGCGCCTGTGTAGCCCCTCCCCAAAGGCAGGCGGTTCGAATCTGCCAGTCGCTCTGCTGGAGAAAGACAGGCAGTCTCCTCTCCAACGATTTACAGCTTCTGAGAACCCGTTGTTGGGTCAGTTCTGAGTGGATTCCGAATGGACATACGTCCAGGCCCACGCGAGCCCTGACTCAGGCTTCGGGCTGCTGCCGGCTTCACTTCTGGGTTAAGCCCCCTATGCTGGGGAAGGGGGGTATTTTATGGCAATACCCTCCCGCAGAGAAGGTGGCCTGAGTTTATGATGCACGTGTGAGGGCTCATCCACAGCGAGCGCCCGGGTCCCCCCTGGGATCCAGGCTCGTGTTCTATTTGGAGCTGGGATGCCTGTTGGCTGGGCCGTGTCCTGGCCACGGGGTGGGAGGACCAGGTGTGAGGGGTTAAAAATAGATGCCCGGCAAACCCAGAAGGGGATGAGGACTAGGGCGCGTGGTGTCAGCTGAGGATGAAGAGCAACTGGGGCGCAGTGGAAAGCATGAGCCCAGTGGAGATGGGGCCACTTCTGTGTGGAGATGAGGGTCCTTTCCTCACCTCGCAGCTCTCTGCTAGTCCAAGCTGAACTCAACACATGGAGATGGATTAGGGTGAGAGTGAGGGCGAGGGTGGGCGCTGAGATTAGGGCTAGTGATTGCATTCTGATTGGGTTGAATTCCTGGAGGAGGCTGAGGACTGTCCATCGGGGATCCTGTCCCCCTAATAATGTCACTCTCTGTTCTCCTCACCTCAGGTCCAAGCGCAGCTGCAGCTGGAGGGAGTGGCGCACGCGCACCCGCACCTGCACCCACACCTGGCGGCGCACGCGCCCTACCTGATGTTCCCGCCGCCCCCCTTCGGGCTCCCCATCGCCTCTCTGGCCGAGTCCGCCTCCGCCGCCGCCGTAGTGGCCGCTGCCGCCAAGAGCAACAGCAAAAACTCCAGCATCGCTGACCTGCGGCTCAAAGCGCGCAAGCACGCCGAGGCGCTAGGACTCTGACCGCGCTCTCCAGCTCCCCCTCGGCCGCCCTGGCCACTCGCGCGCGACCCGTCCTGCACATGACCCCCGGTAACCCCGTTGGAAACCTCGGCGCGCCACGGGCACTGGGGGGTGAGTGCAGGCGAGCGTGCGCCCCTCAGACTTTCGGGAGAGTTTGGCGTCCAGCCCGAGGTCCCTTGGATCGTGAAGACGCGCGCCCTGGAACGGACCCCACAGTGCCAGCTTCTGCATCGCCTGCGCGCGCTCGCGCGCGCCTAAAGACACGTGTTTGAAGATGGTTCAGAATAACAATCAATGTCTTGGGGCTGGTCTCCACTCCACCTAAGACATTTCCTGTCCCCAGCGCGGTTGGTGTCACCGCCACGATCCATCCACGCGGCACGCTTGTGGACTGAAGCGCGCGTGCTCACCTGCCGGGCCTCGCTCCGCCCTGTGCCTCAGCCCTCTGGCAGCAATAACCCGGCGGCCTCTTCTCCCAGAGGCCAAAGAACCAGCCACAGGTGGGGCTTGGTGGAGAGAGGCCTAAAGACGAGCAGCGACTGGGGGCTCCTGCCATCAGTGGAGGGAACTTAGAGGATGGCGATGCGCGCGCGCGCCTCCTGCAGCGCGCGCAGAAGGACCAGGCCCTGGCGCGTGTGCCATTCCACTGGCGACTTTTTAACTTTTCCAATGTTTGATGCCCGAGTTGACTTTTTTTTGGCTGTTTTACAGAATTCAGAAGCGGCGCGCGCGCAAGTTACATGGCGCGCTCCATGGAGCGCCCCCGCGAGTGTGCGCGCCCGCGCAGCCTAGGAAAGCTGGGATGCTGGCGCCGCCGCCTCCGTTTAAGAGATGCAATGAAAGGTTAAGTCAAGTGCAATACTGTAAATATTATAGATTTAAAGACGGTCCTGTCCGCCGCCGCCCGCTGGCTGTGTCCTTTCCAGCCTCAGATTTAGGACTTAGGCCAGCGTGGCGTTGGGGCGTCAGGGTGGCCCGGCACGTGTTGGGTGTGAGACGTTTCGCTTTTACTGGGGGGTGGGGTGGGGTGGGCAGCTCACCTGTCTGAATCAAAGGGAACCTGGAGACGAGTCCTGGAAAGAGAAGTTTGGGAAGTGGGCAGGTATGTTTGGAACTGGTGGCAATCGGAATGATTTCTTTTTCTTCCCCCCCCCCCACACCCTTTGGGTGCACCTCTTTGTAACATGGCCAAATGGAAACTCGTCTGAGCATGAGACAGAGGCCCCAAGGGAGGTCCTCTCACTCGATAACCAAAGCAATACGAAGGATTCTTCATTGCACCATAGTTGGGAGTTGGAAGGGGGGGCTTGCGGCTAAGGGGTTCCATTGCCAATTTGAAGGCTGGTGGTTCAAATCCACCCTGCAGGATGTGCGATGGATGCCCTGCAGGAGGCAGATGGGCCGTCCCTTTCTTATGAGATTTTCAGGCCCCCAAAGGGGTCAGCTCTGAATCCACCCTGACTAGTCAGTAATGGATTTGAGCTACTGTTGGGTGTTGGCATTTGGAGGATGGATGCCAGAGGCTGCATTGGGCATGTCTACCTCTAGGATAGTGGTCTGTCTGCATGCTGGTCCATGGTCACCCAGTCAGGCCATCGGGAAGCCCTAGCCACCTGGCCTTGGACATCCACTTCAGAGAAAGGGTCACTTCTGTCTTTGCACATCTGCCATTTTCCTTTCTTGATTCTCAATCCGTCTCTCCAAGCTCATTCAGTTCATCCTGAGGATAGGTGAGGCATCTGTGTCCTCTTAACATTATTGGTTCATCCTCCCAGGATGTATGTACCTGGATGGCTCCGTGGCCGGTCAGAGTCGTGGCTAATCTGAGGTCGGTGCTGGTGAACGTGGGCTGATCCTTTTATAAACATTTCCCTCCTCCCCAGCCTTGAGAGCAAAGAACACGTTTCTCCGAGTCACGGTGCTTTTCTGGTGGACGTGGTCAGGCACGGTGGTCGCGATGCTGGTTGTAGACTCTTCTGAATGTGTAGAAAGGATGAGATGTGCCTGGAGGGTTTGGGAAGGAAGGAACGTTGGTGATGTGAGGCTGAGAACAAACGTACACACACAGAAATACAAACAGAGACACGCACACGGACAGACAGACACAGACACAAACACACAGGGTCATGTGGAGACACAGGTGAACAGAATCGAGGGGGGTCCACACAGAGCTGGAGAGGCAGAAGCAGAGAGAGAGAGACAGCAAGGGAGAGAGAGACATATAGATAGACATGTATACAGAAAGACAGAAATAGACATACAATAACCCACACGGAGGGTGAGAGACACAGACAGACAGAATGAGACAGAGACACGTCTACATAGACATGTGTACAGAGAGAAATGCAGAGACACAGAGATAGACAGACGTACAGTGACCCATATACACACAGAGGTTGAGACACACAGACAGACAGAGACAGAGACACAGAAATAGACATACAGTGACCCCCACACACACACAGGATAAGACACACAGACAGACAGAAACACAGAAATAGACATTCAGTGACCCACACACACAGAGGGTAAGAGACACAGACAGACAGAGAGACAGTAAAAGAGAGAGACACATATACACAGACATGTACACACACACACAGAGAGGGGAAGAGACATTGACCCACACACACAGACGGTGAGAGACACAGACAGACAGAGAGACAAGGATACACAGACATGTGTACACAGAGACAGAGACACAGAAATAGACACACATCGACCCACACGCACAAAGGATGAGAGACACAGACAGAGAGACAGCAAGAGAGAGAGAGAGAGAGAGACATATACACAGATATATATATGTGTGTGTATATATATATACACACGTTTATATATATATACATGTTTACAGAGAAAAAGACAGAAATAGATATACAATAACCCACACAGAGGGTGAGAGACAGAGACAGACAGAATGAGACAGAGAGAAAGACGTCTATAAAGACATGTGTACAGAGAGAGACACACAGAAATAGACATACATAGACCCACACACGACAGAGGGTGAGACACACAGAAGAACAGAGACAGAGACACAGAAATAGACGTACAGTGACCTCCACACACACAGAGGATGAGAGACTCAGACTGACAGAAGGAGACAGAGAGACACGTCTACACAGACATGTGTAGACAGAGACGGAAACACAGAAATAGACATACATTGACCCACACGCCCAAAGGGTGACAGACACAGACAGACACTAAAAGAGAGAGACACGTATACACAGACATATATGCAGAGAGACAGAGACACAGAAATTGACATAACATTGAACCACATACACAGAGGGTGACAGAGACAGAGAGACAGTAAGAGAGAGACACACGTATACGCAGACCTGTGTGCAGAGGGACAGAAACATAGAAATAGACGTACAGTGACCCACATACACAGAGGGTGACAGATACAGACAGACAGAGAGACAGTAAAAGAGAGAGACACGTCTACACAGACCTGTGTGCACAGAGACAGAGACACAAAAATAGACATACAGTGACCCATATACACACAGAGGGTGGGAGACAGAGAACGGTACATTGAGAGAGATATATACACAGACATGTGTACAGAGAGAGACAGAGACACAGAAATAGACATACGTCAACCACCTCACAGAGGGTGACAGACACAGACAGAGAGACATGTATACACAGACGTGGGGGGCGGGGGAAGAGAGAGAGAAAGAGAGAGAGAGAGATTGACCAACGCACACACAGGGTGAGAGACACAAAGAGAGAGAGACACATATACACAGACATGGCACAGAGACAGAGACATAGAAATAGACATACATTCACATACACACACACACACACACACACACACACACACAAAGAGTGACAGACATAGACAGAGAGACAGACAGTAAGAGAGAGACACATATACACAGACACGTGTACACAGAGACAGAGACACAGAAATAGACATACATTGACCTACACACACAAAAGGTGAGAGACACAGACAGACAGAGACAGAAAGAGAGAGAGACGTATACACAGACATGTGTGCAGAGAGACAGAGACACACAGAGAGAGAGAGAGAGACGTCTACACAGACGTGTACACAGAGACAGAGACAAGGAAATAAACATACATTGACCTACACGCACAAAGGATGAGAGACATAGACAGAGAGACAGAGAGAGAGAGAGACATCTACACAGACACGTGTGCAGAGAGTGAAAGAGACACAGAAATAGACATACATTGACCTACATGCACAAAGCGTGACAGACACAGACAGACAGAACGAGACAGAGAGACATGTATAACAGAGATATGCGTCCACAGAGAGACACAAAAATAGACATACATAGACCCATATGCACAAAGGGTGAGAGACACAGAGACACAGAGAGACACATATACACAGATATGTGTACACAGAGACAGACACACAAAAGGAGATATACAGAGACCTCCTCCCCACTGGATCATTTTCATTTCCTTCACCTGCTCTCCCTACCAACCAAATTGTGCAGCTCTGCCACTGCATTCACACAATTTTCATCTTCACCTTTCTGCTTCCAACCTTCACCTCCATGTATCCCCAATATGTTTTACCCAATAAAATAAAAAAAATACACACATATATATGTATACATACATGCACATATATACATATAGGTATATAGATATAGGTATATATGTGTTTGTGTGTATATATATGTGTGTATATATGTATATATGTGTGTGTATACACACACACACACACACATATATATATCCACACACATAGAGGGTGTGAGGCACAGACAGAATGAGACAGAGACACAGAGAGACACATATACACAGACCTGTGTACACAGAGACAGAGACACAAATATATATATGTACATAGACCCATATACAGAGGGTGAGAGGCACAGACAGACAGAAGGAGACAGAGACACAGAAAGAGACACATATTCACAGACCTGTGTACAAGAGAGAGACGGAGACAGACACACAAAAATATATATACATAGACCCTCACATAAAGAGGGTGA